ATGGTTATTGACATTTTGACCAGATGACCGTGCTAAATGAAAAGTATTTTGTGTCTATGCCATCTGAGATTGCCTCCTACTTATACTTTCACCAAGCACAGTGGACTTCAATTTATATATTTCTCCTCTCTCGTTATTCTCTCATTAATAACTCAGGCATAGTGACAAGATGTCCTCTTGAACTGAAGATGAAGAGAAAGAAAGCAGGAAACGTGTGGTACGGAAAGATAAGCTACAGGGACTACGAGGAAGAGATTGATGATCCTGCGGATGTGGAGAAAAAGATTCGAGAAGGTACAGTATACCACATTCTTTAATGTTACTACCAACAGCCAAGAACTGAAGGAGCTATTGCATTTTCTAAGGTTTCATCTTTCATCAGCTTGTTGATTATTATCATATATCACATCCCTTCTCTTCAGCTCAGGATAAAATGGCTGGGGTCGGTGTGGGGATCAGTGATGACCTCATCAGCCTGGAGATCGCCTCTCCTGATGTTCCAGACCTGACGCTCATTGACCTGCCTGGAATCACCAGGGTGGCTGTATCGGGACAACCAGAGAACATTGAACACCAGGTATTCTGGGTCCAGGATCTCTGTAATGAGCGTTTTGGCTCTGTATCAGTTTTAATCCCCATCCATACTCAAATGCCTGTTTTATATAACGTTACCACTCACGCACACTGGGCATTTGCATGCCAGTGTACACAGGAAGCAATTGGTTGTTGGTTGCAGAATTATCTCAGATTGCTCGAATAAAAGCTTGTCTCCTGCACATGTAAACTGATCCTGAACCTAATCCAGGCTAAAAGAAACAAAGCTGCAACTGCTGAATGGGGCCACCCTGGTGGGCTGAAGCGCAACAAAGCAGCATCACCCACAGTGTACAGGTCACTCCCACAATCAAAGAAACGCAGGACAATGCAGTGTTTATTTTGAGTCCATTGCCCCTTAGTGTCACGTTGGTTAACATGGCTCCAGCAGCTGACAAATATATAGATCTACATCTTTCATAAAGATCATCATCGGAGTAAGCAAAATGATTTAGCAGGTCTCTGAGGACCCTTAAAGGTCCAGTGTGTAAGATTTAGGGAGAGGGTGAGGTGAGGGGTGTTCAGTTGCAACATGAAATTTCAACATTAGATATCACTAAATTCTACACACTGTACCTTTAACAGTCTGCACTCAGCTCTACGGGATCCTTTATTTCATTTTTTATTTTTTAATCCACGGGATCCTCTAAGAATGGTGATGCCATGTTTCAACGGAATTGATTGGTCATCGGCCAATGCTTTTATACGGGAAGAAGTGAACAAGCTTTGTAGGACTGAAAACTACAGCAAATCAGTTGCAGATTTGATTGTTCTTCAAACGAAAACGTAGTAATGTGGATGTAATTCTGTAATATTCATTCATTATGTGATAAAAACACTCTCAAGCACAACAACATTGTTCGTTCTACTACTCAGAACTTGAAAAACAATATGAATCAATACTTTCAGATAAAGAGACTGATCCGCAAGTTCATCACGAAACAAGAAACCATCAGCCTGGTGGTTGTCCCATGTATCGTGGACATAGCAACCACAGAGGCCTTGAAGATGGCACAGGAGGCGGATCCCGATGGAGAGAGAACTTTGGGTAAATAGATTGGAATTTTAGAAAACATTGGTCCAGCTCGAGGGGAAGTTACTCAGCTCTCAGTTTATTTCACTCTGTCTCTTTCAGGTATTTTGACCAAGCCTGATCAAGTGGACAAAGGAGCAGAGGAGTCAGTGATTGACATTGTTCATAATGAGGTCATCCACCTGAAGAAGGGCTACATGATCGTCAGGTGCAGGGGTCAGCAGGAGATCACAGAGAAAGTGTCTCTGACTGAAGCATTAGAAAGAGAGAAAGCCTTCTTTGCAGACCATGCACATTTCCAGTAAGTTCAACTTCGGGGTAATGCTACAAAATATGTATATGGTAAAGTGTTAAATGGTTTTGGTTATTTATATAGTGCTTTTGTAGTCTTGATGACCACTCAAAGTACAGGTTCTGTATAATGTACTAAGTCGCTGTTAATTCCTTCTGTAGCACCCTGTACAATGAGGGCCATGCCACAGTTCCGAAACTGGCTGAGAAACTCACAATTGAGCTGGTGCATCACATTGAGGTGAGTTTTTTTATTATTGATTTGTCAGAATTATAGTATAAACGATGATTTGTCAAATTTGGTAACAATCACTGCTGTTTTATTTTCAGAGATCTCTCCCTCGACTGGAAGAACAGGTCGAGGAGAAACTAGCACTAACTCAGGCAGAGCTGGAGAGATATGGCAGTGGACCCCCATCTGACCCAGCTGAGAGACTCGTCTTCCTGATTGATGTGAGATCTTCCTCATGCTTCATAATATTTACCAGGCAACACAAATACTCGCAGCTACTATACATTTCTGGACAACTTGTAAACAACTGTTTCTGCTGTCACATGTGGACTCTAGAAAGTAACAGCGTTCACTCAGGATGCCATCAGTCTGGCTGCAGGAGAGGAACTCAGATGTGGAGACAAACTCAATGTCTTCTCTATGCTCAGAAAAGAGTTTGGGAAGTGGAACACCCACCTGGACCGCACGGGACACAACTGTGAGTGTTTAATTTCTGTCTGGTGTACAGCTGTCCATCAGCAGGACTCAGAAATATCTGTTGTTGTGTCGTAGTTAACATGAAGATCGATAAAAAGGTGGAGGACTATGAAGAGAGGTACCGTGGAAGAGAACTGCCAGGCTTCATCAACTACAAGACGTTTGAGGTCATGGTCAATGAGCAGATGAAACAGCTGGAAGAACCATCTGTCAAGAAACTCAAGGATATTGGAGGTAAATGATTGAATAGAAGACAAATGCAATGTGTTTTTCTGCATTCTGTATGCCTCAGTGAAAATCAAGCTGCTGCATTTCCATTTCCTCCAGATGCAGTTAGGAGGGTGTTCTTGCAGCTGGCCATCAGTAGCTTCACTGGATTTCCCAACCTCATTAAAACAGCCAAGGTCTTCTATAAGTTTGATATTGACATTCATTTAATTTGATCTTCATCGTCAGTAAACATGCTGCATACTTTTTTGCAACCAAAGATGTCAAAATCTCATTTTCCAGGCAAAGATTGAAACCATAAAGCAAGAAAAAGAGTCCATTGCAGAGTCCATGCTGAGAACCCAGTTCAAGATGGAGATGATGGTTTACTCCCAGGACAGAACCTACAGCAGCAGTTTGAGTGACAGAAAGAGAGAGGAGAACGAGGAGGAAGAAAAACGTACTAAAAAGACTCCTAAGTACTTCATGGATAATCATGCAACTCTTCAGGAGTTGATGTTACACCTTAAATCATATTACAGAGTAAGTTTTAATTTAGGGTGATTGTTCATGTACAAATATGATGATTCAGGTTTAGATAGAGGGTCTGTTTTTTTTTTTTTTACAAATGTTAATGTCTCAAACTCATTTCTCATATACGTCTCTATTATATTCCAGATTGCCAGCCAGCGTCTTGCTGACCAGATACCGCTGATTATTCGCTACCACGTGTTGCAGCAGTCCGCCGTCCAGCTGCAGAGGGAGATGCTGCAGATGCTTCAGGATAAGGAGAATTTGGAGCTCTTGCTGAAGGAGGAGCTGGACATTGGTTGCAAGAGAGCTGCTTTGCAGAGTCGCCACAAACGCCTCATGAAGGCCCGCACGTACCTGGTGAAGTTTTAATGGAGGTTAGAGCATAACTCTACTGTGCTGCATTAATTTGAGAAATACAACAAATCCATGGTTGAAGATTCTCATACTATTTTTTGTTTTATTGTGTAAGTTTGGAATGGACAGGATGTGTTTAATGTCCTGTAATATGCACTATATTGTTGCTCAAGAAAAGGTCATGAAAAGGTCATAGTCCTGTTATTTATTAAACAAGACTTGAATGTTGCCTAATGTATACTTATATTCTTGAAACATATCCAAAAGCAACATATTCATATTTGTTACTGTATTTGTTAAAAGAGAAGATTTCACTTGAACTGTCAAATTTTTCGATTCCAACTTGCTTTTAGGGGTAATAGTACTCAGATAATCTCTTGTCTTGAAATAAATATTGGCATTTTTCCTATAGTTATGTATTGTCAAACAAAAATTTTTGTGTTGAATATACAGCTTATTGAGATATCCAAAAGTAGAAATGTTATCTTTTTTCAGACATGTTTTAGGCGGCTTGGCCAATATAAGTTCATTATTAATTTTTGTGGAGAGAATTATCTCTCTTAAGCTGCTGCAGGACTGACACTGAAACAAAAATGGTATGGCTGAGGACCAGACAGAATAAACAAGTAGTGGAGACTTATTATTATTATAAGCTACCCAAACCTGAGATGAGGTGCGGATTCAAGCAATGACTCGGTTGGGCCCTTCATTTTTGAATACTATATGTTTACTTCAGGAGTGGGGTCCTCTCTACGGAGGCCGCCATGTTTTTTTACAGTAGTCCAAACTGGATAGAGTGAACATCTTTTGAGTTTTTATACTCAATTTAAATAAATGTACTTTGACTACCCCTGGTGGTTTCACACAGGAACTTGTAAAAACAAAATCCCATCTTGACAAGATGTTAATAGAAAGTTGTTTCAATACTAACTCCCTACTAAGTAACTATCCACCAATACTGGATTTTACTAATAACCTTTTTATAGCTTTTTTCCCCCAATCACTTGTATCTTTGTTTATATCAGTCTAATGTGCTGTATGAACATAATTTGTCTCTATCATGAAATCCTTGTTGGCCTGGAAACCTTTAATCATTCCAAAAAAAGTGAGATAGACAATTTTACTTCTATGCGCATCACATACGCATATCAATAAATAACTATACTGGACAACAAAACTGTAGACAAGCAAACTTTAATCAACAATACATACAAAAAGATTCAAGGACAAATACAAAATCATTTAAAAGTTATCCGCTGCATTCATTCTACCTAGGACCTCTACACGTTCATTCTCCATTCTCTGCTAGGCTCTCCTGGATGTTGTCGTCATTGTCTGATTTTTCATCATCTAGGAAAGATAAAGAAGATTAGCAAGGCCTAGTTACATTTACAATTTCCAAACCTTAACGGGTTAAACATTTCCTGGTTTGTTGTGCAGCACAACAGCTACTGAGAACAGAGAACATAAAGACAACACAAACATGGTTCCAGTGCATGCCCTTGTTTACTCACTCTCAAGAGTCTGCTGTAATTCCTGTATGGTACTGAGTAGCACATGGAACTGCTTCTTCCTTAACTCCAACTGAGTGAGAGAAAAAGGGATTTAAAACAATTGAAGTAAAATGTTATTAATGATCTAAGGAACTGTGATGTAGAAAACGAAAGAATAAATGTATTTGTTTTTACCTTATCATCAACATTCTCCTTGATGTGAGACAGTTGCTGGAGTTCTTTGTCAAGCGCCTCCAACTGCCTGCACCAACACATGATGATTATCAGCACATGCTAAGTGGATATTTGAATGAAACAATATTTAAATGAAACAGAAGACACAGGCCGACTTACTTTAATGTTTCATGTCGGTCTGGGTGCTGCTGGATAACTTTGGCTAAAGCATCATACTCTGAAAAGAAAGAAGAAATAAAGGATGTGAAACATTTTAGCTAAATTTTGCCATCCCATGTTGCCACCATGTCATCTAAAATGACTGATGACTTATATTTGAGGAAAAAAAAAATCAAAGCTACTTTGCAATTTTAACCTTTTGAGCTATAGACCTCAATACAATTTCTCACTCCCAATAACTCATTGGATCATGGTTGCTAGTCAAATGACCTTATGATATTTATGTCTACATCCAAGTGAGCTATGTTTCTTAATATACAAAAAAGATGTATACATAATTGAATGTACTGCAAACTATTTTTTACTACCTTTTTCAAAGAAATTTTTTTTTTGTATATCAAAGTTTAATAGTAGGGATTTCACCTTCACATGGGTGGGTCTAATAATGGCTACACTATACTGTACATAAGAAGTGCAAGAAGTTAGTCAATTGCAAATACACACATCTTCTAAAAGTCTAGAGTCGTGAAAAGATTCTTACCTTGGCGATTTTTTCGTATCCTCTTTGCCCTCTGTATTTCCTTTTTGCATTCTGCTATCTTCTCATGTGCTGATGTGATGTTTTGTTCTGCAGGGAGAACAAAGAGCTGGTTATGAGGTTATTGTACGATGCATTTGAAACACAAACATTTATGTTGTTACGTGGTCACTCAGTTTTTCTAATTTCTCCTTTGTGAAAAGGTGGATTTTGAAGAGTTTTAAAAAATGTCCTGAGATGGGTTATTGTGGATCTCTGCCTGGAGAGAGGCTGCCTGTCACCATAGGTTTTCATGCTGGTACAGATGATAATTGCCAGAACTTTAACTGAGGCCCATAGAGGTTTCAGGATGGAGTAAATGGGTTAAGAAAGCCAGGCTGAAACTGGGGGCCCAGGACATGCTATGGGAGGATTATAAATGTATTGGGGGGAGGTGATTTGCTGGGGTTTGGTTGTCAACAACTAATATATAAACTCCAATAATGGTTCAGTGTTAAACACATTCCTGGTCATTGTCAGAACATTTCTTACCTATGTTAGTGTAGATTTTCTCATAGTTCTCCATTTCCCGGAGATTCATGTCATAAACCATCAACGTCTTCCCCATGGAGAACTCGCACTGGGCCAGTGTGCTCAGCATCCTCTGCGTGAAGCTAAATAGAATAACAAGACGGAGTGAGACTCGGAGCAAAACAGCTCTTCACCACAGTTTGAAATGTTAAAGTACTAGGCGACACAGTCCAAGGCTGAGGTGCTGTCGTCTTCTTCTACGGAGATCATTTACCCTTCCTCCGGGGTCCCAGGCGAGTTGCACCATTTGGTGAAGCTCTTCAGCAGCACATTGATTCGACGATCATCTCCAGCTCCGTCCCCGTCAATGAGAAGACGTTTCCGAATAACTTCATCTAGGATATAGTCGAGAAAGGGAGGAGGTCAAACAATCTTCTATACACAGCAGCTATGTTAGAAAGCCTCCGGCTAACTGTTAGCTAGCTAACGTGGCTACTGTTCCATTAAATGTTCTGAAAGCATGCTAACACGTATGTGTATAGAATGAGTTTGGTTATGTGTGTCCATACTTTGCAAGGGTATACGTTTCTACTGGTGACCTTTACCAAAGCTGAACTCCACAAATGAAACCGTAACTTACCATCTGTTACTGCGCCCATGTCTGAAGGAGCTAGATAAACTTTATTGAACAGCCGGAAGTGAACAAAACACCCGGCGGCGGCGAATGGTCTTTTTCTTCTTCTGTGTTTATTGAGCGTTGGCAGACAACCGAGTTGGGTCATTACTGCCACCAGCTGATATGGAGTTTGGATCAAAATGTCCACAATTCACAATAAAAAACTCCTTTCAATTAGATAACCTATTCTAAACTTTGAAAGGAAATGATTTACAGTTTATCTTGGGTAGTAATCTGTTATACTTTGTTTATACTAACAAAAATGAATGAATGATGAAATAAAGAAAAGAAAAGAAATATACACAAGGATCATTTCGTATATTTTACACCAGGCCAAGACTTCTCATCAACGTTATCATCTGAACATTAAGCAATGTAGTTTCTTCTTCTTTTTTTATATCGTCATTAAACAGTTGGAATTACAATTCATAGTCATTATTAACTTTCATAATTTTTACTCACTGTGGTGATATTGCATAGCATATTCAGAGTATTTAAAGCTGAAGCCATCAAATTGTGCCTGTGATCTTTTCTTCTTGCATATTGTTCAAGGTTCTCTTTGATGGATTTTAGCAAACACAGAGTGAGCAACCTTTATTTTATATCACTTAAGTGAATAATGCAATACTAAAATTTGTTGAAACCTCAACTGTTAAGAGACGATAGAAAGGAAAGGTTGAAGCCATGAAAACATAATAACAATCTAGCTTGCAAGGGCTATTAAATGACAATCATATGTTCAAATTAAATGTTACAAGTTGTTTTAGCTTTTTTACAATTAACAATTGAGTAACAATGTAAATGCTTATCCATTAGTCTGCTATCTTCTCAAAATAACACAAAACACAGAGAGAAATTTCAGGTCTGTTGAAAGCTTCCGGAAAAAAACAAAACACTGTTCAAATCAATGTAAATATTTTTCATTTTCACAGAGACAATGTACAGAGTTAGCTAGTAGCAAATTTGCATCTGTTGTCATCTCTGGGCAGGTAAACAAAACAACAATAATTCATATTATATATTATCTCTGTGTATTAGCAATATTATACATATTATCTCTGTGTATTGCTTATATAGATTATCTCTATTACCGATTTTGTATATAATCTCTTTATATAATCTATTTTATATATCACCTCTTTATATTATCCGTATAATATATATATATYWTKTATATKATATATATTATCTGTTTATTTCACCTTCATAGTATCTGTTTACTTTATTATTATCAGTGAGAAACTTTATAACCCCTGTCGTTGTATATTGGTAAACCTTCTTATTTGCATTTGTTTGTTATGTTAAACATATATTTTTGATTATGGAAAGGCATGTGCGCGTGCGTCGTGACGCAGTGACGTCTCCGTCCCAGAATGCAGTCTGGTAAACAGACATGGAAGCACCAGGTGAAGACCTCCACACAGGCTGAGCACTGCCCTCGCTCTTTCCCACCGTCTTCTGTCTCGTTCGCTCAGCGCATCCAGCTGATACACGTCTGCCCGGTGTCCCAGTCACGTCCACAGCATCCACAGCCCCGGTAAGAGCGAAGTTACTGTCGGTGTGCGGCGGCGGTGAATGACTTCTGCTGTGCTGTCAGGCTGCTGCCAGCTTCCTCGCTAACGCTAGTCATGGCTGGCTGGCTACAGGCTGCAGCTAGCAGGCTAATGTAGCCGCCACTGCTCCCCAGTAACGTCTGTACCTGCCACAGATTCTCATTGTCATCATGACACAGCTCCTCGTGGACTTACTGCCCCTTTCACACATCATGTTTAGCACATGGATACATTTTCTATTGGAATACAAGTTAATGTACGTGCATGTGAGCAGTGTGCAGTAGAGGTGGGGGCAACGCTAGCCAATCAAACTGCTCGCTTCTGATGGTCAATGCTAGTTACTGTTAGCTAAGTGCTGGAAAGTTGTGAACGTCAACTAGTCGCTTCCATGGAGCCCAAATCACAACTGACTCCAGGTTAGACTACGACTTAGTCACATGTTTGTACTACAAGCCATCAGACTTTACACTGTGTACACTGGTATTCACCCAGAGGCCATCTTTATAGTTAGTGTGAAATACACATGTTCATTGGCTGGGTGACATTTCAAT